TATTCTGTGAAAGACACGTCGCCAGAGAAAACTTTGAAATCAGTGAAGAATTTCATCGAAGATTTTGAATTACCGAATCGCTTCATATCGGATAGAGGTTTCTGTTTCACTTCACTGGATTTTCAGAGATATTGCAACAAAAATGGCATCTTGCACACATTGAATTCTACCTCCCATCCTCAAGCAAATGGAATGGTTGAGAGAACAAATCAAGCAATATTGTCCACCATAGTTACGCCTAGGACTGGACGATATTAGAAATTATATATCGTGATATATCGTCAGTTTTGCATCGCGATATAGCGATGTATCGCTTAAATTTTCAAAAAAGATTCATATACTTGTAAGGCACAGAAAGTCAGATTTCTAACAAAACTTCATACTCAGATTGATTTAAATCAATTTATAAATTTGAAGATATATATGTTTTGCTAAAGAAAGATATTAAATAAATTGACTAAGATGTACAAATCTTACTTAAAATATTTATTGAAAAAATGTGTGTAGATACAGAATGAAATATTTGCACTTCTTTATCGTTTATAAGGTATAAGCAGTCTTAATTTAAGTTAACCCCTAAAACACCCTTAATGAAAAAAAATATTGTTATTAAACAAAAGCTGATTTTAAAATTTCAAAATATATTTTAATTAAAATAAAAGTTAGATTGACTAAAAGCCGAAGTTTAAAATTAAAAATGTTCGAATTTTAAACTAAAAAGTAAACATAAGATTTGTAATAATTTCTTAAAATTTTCGTTCTCTGAAAGATTTCTCAGTTTAAAAATAAAAAGGGAATTTTATAAAGATATCTAGCTGAAATTATTGAAAGAAAATTTAAAAAATTAAAAAAAAAGTTTGTTAAGAAATTCATTATACACTTAAAACAAAGTGTTAAAAATATTTTTTTTTTTTAAAAAAGAAACTTTTTTTAACAAATCAATATTTGCTTGTACTATTATGCGTAAATAATTACAGAATTATTAAGTTCGATCGTAATGTTCAAATTCTTAATGAAGAAGTAAACACAAGTTTTGTTATATTTTCTAAAAATGATCACGCAAATAACAAAAGATTTCTTAGTTTAAAAATAAAAAAATAAATAAAAGTGAAATTTATCAATATATTTACCTAACAGCATAGGAACAAAATTTAAAAAATAAGTTCGTTAAAAAATTATTTGTATGCTTAAAACAAAGAGCTAAATAAATTTTAGAAAAAAAATGCTTCTTAAACACTATTTTTATTATTATTTCATATAAATAATTAAATTAAATTAAATAATGACCGAATTATGAACGAAAAACAAAGTAAGGCAAAGTTTCTTAATTAAATTCTTAAAAATAAAAACAAAAGAATTGTGATATTCGGTAATATATTTAGCTAATTAACTAATAATATAAAACGAAAATTAAAAAAAAATAATGATTTTACTCTCTAATAAAACGAAGTAGTAATTGATAAAAAAAAAAAAAAAAAAAAATGAATAAAATTCGCAAACTTTTCAAATTCTTTTGAACAAATAAAGTTTATTGACTTATGTCCAAAAAATAAGTTTTGTTTTAACTTTATTTCTAAAAATAAAAACAACTCAAGATTTATAAATTTAAAATCAGTAATAGAAGCCCATTAAATTATTAGAAGTTTTATCCGAAAGGTTTTTAATAAATTAAAAGAAAGTAAAAAAATAACCTAACAAATTTATTTACTTTGTAATTTAATTCCTTATGGGTGCCTTAAATTAGATTTCCGATAATTTTCACATTTAAAAATATAAAAAAAGTTTTGTCAGAAAATAAATAAAAAACTTACCTAATTAATGAAGAAACTTTTCTTTATAAATTCTTTTCAATAATAGATTGCGTTCAGAACAAGGTTACGACGGCGATCACGAAGTTAATCCCATTGAAAATAATCTACAAGAAACGATTTCAAATCGCGAAGGTGCGAAAACGAACATGTGATATAACGATATAAGGTCTCAAAAGTGATTCTGATTCTACCGCTCATCAGTCAAGGCCGTCTCAACATAACGAAACAATATCGTCTTCCACAGCGCGAGTTGGCATCGGAACGTAAGAGAATGTCCTTGCGTGTATCGCTATATCGTCTTCTTCACTCGACGGCTTAAATCAGATTTCTGATGTATCGCTTGGAATGAAAGTTGCTGTATCGGTTTACCGATGTAGGCGTTAAATCGATATGTCGCGATATATCGATTTATAGCCCAGTCCTAGTTACGTCTATCGAAAAAGCTGATCAAAAGGATTGGGACAGTAGGATTAAGGACGTCGAAAGAAACTTGACAACACCGTGAACTAAACTCTTGGGAAAACACCTTTTGAAATTCTTCATGGCTATATACCAAGATTTAAGGATGGTATTATAAGGTTGTTTGCTGATGAAGAGGTTGAAAAATGGAATGATCCAAGGAAGTTACAACTCAAAACAAGAGAAAAAATCGAAAAAGAGCAAGAGAAAGTTAAAGCACATTATGACAAAAAGAAATCTGGAACACTAGCGGTTGACAAGGACGAAATTGTTGTAGTCAGAGGACATCCAAGGACGACAGGGGAGTCAACGAAAACTCTATCACGGTATCGAGGACCTATGGTTGTCACAGAAGTACTTCATAGCGACACATATAGAATCTCTCAATTAGAGGCTAACGATGGCCTCCTATATGCCATAACGGCTCATGTCAGTCAATTAAAAGCTTGGAGAAGCTGGAATGAAGATAATGATAATTTCAGAGAAGGTTCTGCTAAAGAACCCAGAAGGCAAATGCCCAAACGAACTGCACATAGACCACTGCGTTATAATGATTTTATAAACTGTTAGAAACTCAATATTTCATATTATTAGTCCAGTTAATTTTATTGTAATGCATTTTAAAGGTTTAGTTCAATTGAGGTCAGGATGGTCGAATGTAGGTGCAATTATAAATTATGAATGGCAACAGCGATTATCTAGTTTGAATGTAAGCGCCTTGGCCACCGTAAGCCCATATATACTGTAAAAATGAAGAATGGAAACAGCGGTTATGTTTTAGTTTCAGTTTTGTTATGTAAACATTATTATTTTGTAGAATATAGATACGAAATGTACGTGAATGTAGTAAGTTATGAGTGTACTTATATTATCAATAAATATTGTTTTTGTTTTCTATAAAGACTTTATTAATGTTAATTCAACAACATATGAAGCCAACACATGAATTGGTCCGCTCAATCCTCAGATATTAATCCTATTGAGCTATTGTGGGATGAACTAAATATAATTGTTAGAAAAATGTGATGCACTAATCAAACCAAATTTTGGGAATCTTTACTTAGTTGCTGGAACCAGATCTCAACCAAAACATTGCAAAAACTAATAGAAAGAATGCCAAAAATGTGCACTGCTGTGATTAAAACTTTAGGAGTATATTTCGAAGAATCCAAGATTGATTGAAATTCATACGTAATACATAATATTATAGCATACCTTACAGCATAAGTGTATCTATATTCGTCAAAATAAAGTTAATTTGTTGTGATTTTCAGTTAAAAAAATTTGCTATTTGTTCATTTTTAAAAATTGAAGAGTGAGTCTATAATTTTGACCGGTACTGTATGTACAATTAAGTATAAAGTTGAGTTGAAAGTAAGTAGAATTGTCTCATAAGAGTGGTGATGTTAACAATCCCAATAAATGCAAAATATCGAATTTTTACAATGCCATACCATGACTCAACTAGATTTAAAATAAGCATAGTTTCGGGTGATTTTGGCATGATTATTGATTGTGTTTCCAACATTGTGAATATGGGTCACGAATATAAATCACGATGTGTGATTTTTAAATCATATGAAGACAAATCGGGCAGAGTCTTATGCAATTCTAGTAAATTACAATTGTCATTTGTAAATCATATTAATTTGAAGAGCCATGTTTAATTTTTAAATCCTGTGATAGTGGATTGCGACGTTTGATATTTTAAAATGCAGAAATAAGGATCTGAATGTATGAATTTTAAAACACGTGAATAGAAATCAAGATGTGTGATTTTCAAATCACAGGACAGCAAGGTCAATGTGGTGCCATGAAGCAGTAAGTTAATAAAAGAAGACAAACTAACCATTTGAAATTTTTAGTATAAAATAAAAAGCAAGTCATTTTTTTGTATAATGTTAAACAGCTAGCATAGTTTATAGCAGCACAACAGTCAAAGAAATAAAAAATCCAATTGGTGCTGAGTAAAAAAAAAATAGATGCACTTGTTGCTTGACAAAACGGAATGGAATAACTATTGTTCTTACTTTCTTACCATAAAAGATATTAGAGAGGGAAAAAAAAGCTTGTAAGTGAGATGCTTTAAAGATAAAATTCTACTAAAAAAAATAATAAATAAATAAATAAAAGACTTTCAGTGTAACATAAAAAGCTTAAATTAATCTTTTTATGTTATTCCTTTCTGTAAATACTTTTCTTTTATTATTTTAATCGAAACACTTTCTCACACTTTTAAATTTACATCCTGTCCTTAAATCTATTTTTGGCTCAAGCATGCATTAATTAAAAGTAAGAAATTTTTTCCCTTTACTCTTAGTGGGAATCGTGCGACCTATTTAATAAACCAATTAGAATTACTAAGATTTCCCTCTTTCCTTAAATTGAAACATTTTACGGATTTATTTTGCAAGATTTTCCCTAACATATAATCGAGGAGCACAATTTTTCGTGTCCACTTTCATAGCTGTTCTCTGTCCAATAATTAATAAATAAATTTTGTACTCTCCTTCCCTGCCTAAGACCTGCTTTAATCTCTCCACTCGGCAATGACGTTATATGTATAGATATATAATGCTTTTAAACACAGTTTTGAAATTTTATAAAATGAAGCCCATTTTTGCACAAAAAAAAACACAATTATATCCTAAGGATTTCAGAGGTTTTAATGTGCACCTGCAAGTAGTCATGAGCATGTCTATTGACACAAAAACAAAAAATATAACTTACCATGTGAGGTATGACTTTGTTCAAACTGATTTTCCATACTGCCTGCAGTTATATCAATCATTTCATCATCACTGCTCCCAGAGAGTGAATGAGTTTCAAAATTTGTACTGCTTGATACTTGATTTAGAAAACCATTTGACGATTTCTTTTTATGTTGATGGCAACTTTTTTTCCACCTAACTGATATTTCATTCTCCATAATATGAAAGCCACTAAAACAATATAAATATTTAAATATAATGATCAACTAACTAATGCAAAAGTATAATATTCTGTATTAAGTTATAAAATTGATAAATATTTAAAATAAAAATCAAATACCTTAATAGCAATAAACAGCTCATAAATATGCATTTTAAATGCTGTACATATTTAAAGCATCAATAATATTATATCAGTTCATGAGTTTAAAAAAAAAATTTAAAAAAAATTACTTTTATATAATTTTTTTAAAAAAATATTCTGATTCTAGTGGAATTTTTAAAAACATTTGAACACACATTGTACATTCTCAACAAAATAGCAAAAGTGAAAAACAAACAATAATTAATAAAATCACAATGTTTCGCATTTTTGCAACAAAAATTTTTCAATGTCACAAAAACTTTCAAAGTGCTAAATATGAAACAAGAGAATTCTGATTATTGAAAAAGACCTCTTTTATCGAAATACATTTCCATTATTTCAATAAATATTTTAGCTAGGTTTTTTTTTTCTATGATTAACGTCTATAACTAAATTCGCTTAGCTGAAATATAATGATTAAATATCCCATAAATTACGCTTTGAGTGGTCACCATTTTTTAAAAGACAAAAATAAGAAACAAAATTCCTTGTATTTTCCCAGTTTGCACAGTGATTGGGATAAACTACTGCCAATAAAAGTAAACATAATACTAAAAGAAATAAAAAAGATTAATCTAACTTTCTTTTCTTCATTTCTATTTATATAAATAAACTTAATAATATTTAGGTCTCATCAAATAAATTTTTTTTTTCTTTTTTTTTCCTCCCTTTTTAGTGCCACTTATTAGTCCTATTTAGCATCTTAGCAATTTTTGTGAAAATTTGAGGGACACTTAATCGATATTTTATTCAACTTTTAAAGGAATATTTACATGCCTTGTTTGACATGCAAGAGTAAAAAATGTGTGACCGATTATAAATTTTGCATGTCTCTGGCAATATAATCTACATACCTTATAAAAAGGTACAATGGAATTCTCTTTAGGGAAGATTTCAGTATCGTAATTGAATGCAGAATAAGTGCCAAGTCTTGGCAATTTCCCTACAGCATCCCACGAGAAATAAAAAGAAAAACATCATAGAAGGAGACAAGCTCAAAGGGTGTAACTTGTAGCCAAACATCTACTTGATTTATTTTTTTAAACTTGCAAGTTTGAAATCCATTTGTGCCTTGGTGATTGAACTTTACAGGAGAAGACTGACTGATTGACACTCCCAAGCAAACCTTTACAAATTTGAAGAAAAAAAATTTGTGAGTTCAAAAACCTTTTCGGGTTTTGACAATTGAAGATAGCGCTAACATGAACGGATACACAAATAACCCCACAAAAACGCTTATATTGCTTTTAATAACCTTTCTCAGAGTAATAAATTCATTCGTATTGTATGAAAAATGCCCTAAACATTTAATTTGAAGGTAGATAAAAAGTGACATATTGTTAAAAGCCGACAGATGCCTTTTTTAACTATTCAAATATTGCCATGTATTATGTTTTATCAGAACAGAAAGTAAAGTTTAAACTTTAGTAAATAATATGCACTACTGTAGATACAGCATGTTATTAAAAAGATAATAATTAAAATTTCACACACAATGACATGCAATTCTCAATTTATAATCCTTTATTTTTTAACTTTTGAAAAAATTACATAACCATAAATACATACCATCTTAAGAAATTCAGTATGTCGTTAAAAGGGTAATATTTAAAAATTTAGTAAATATTATTATATAGCTTTCAATTTATAAACATACAAATTATTTATTATGTAAATAAACGAAACGAATTCGTAAACACCCGTCAATTTAGTCAAAAAAATTTATTTCAATCGATATTTCGATTAGGATGAAATATGTTTTAATCGAACTTCAGATCGGCAAATTTGTTAAGTACCATTCTTACTGGATGTAAAAACAACACATGCGAACTCACTCTATGTAATTGATAAGCGAGCTATAAGAAAAATGCAGCAAGAAGCTCCAAGAATGCGGGTTAGCCATCATCATCAAACCACCTCATACGAAAACAAAAGTAATGGATGTCAACAAGCATGGTTTCTTCATGAAAAATCGTTGAAACCTTTCAGTTAATGCATGCTTATGGTATTAATAGAATTTAGTGAATAATTTATAACTAATTATTAAGTTATGTTTGTCTCTAATGTATTTTATTTCTTAGAGGATATTCTTTTATTTTTCTATCTATATAAAACAGCATAAAATTTTATTATTGCCCATTAACGTCGCTATCTTTAGCTGATCCTGGGCAAAGCATTTTTAGGGGGGTGGGGTTTGCATGAATTTTGAACGCTGATATTATTATCAATAGACATTTTTCACTGATGTATTGTGTTACTGCATGCATAATTTTTTTAAGTTGACTCTCTAAAGTTGAGTTGAAAACTCTTGGAACTTTTTCCCACAAATTAAATGTAAACCCTGTAATAAATAGCAAGAATCATATTCACGCTTTATAAATAAATAACTTCAACGTGTTTATTATTATACCACTTTTTATTTTATGCATGTTTAGCTTTGCGAAAAAATAGTTTTTTGTGTATATATTGGCATATTTTTATGAAACTTGCAACTGCGGGATAACTAAAAATGTATAGTGTTGTAATATAATAATTTTGTGTGCACGGATCGCTATATTTTTATGAAATTCGTTACAGAATGGTAAGAAAACTGGGTTATTTCTTTATCTGTTGCGCCTATTACAATCGGAGATATATCCGTAGTGTGATCTGTCGCGCCAACTACAATTGCCAAGGATCCAAATAGATTTTATGCTTGCAGATTTTTTTTTAAAAAAACATGTAGACATTTGTCCGGGGGTGGCTACAAGTTATACCTTTCGAGTTTCTTTCTTTCTGTTTTATTTTTTTTTTTTTTAGTTTCTAGTGGGTCCATACCCGAAAGTTACCAAGGCTTGGTAAATATGGCAGGCAAGGCATAGAATTATGGCAGATAACAGCTCCCAATCTTTTTTAAGACAAATCAGAAGGGTTCCAAAATTAAAAATAGCCTGCATATTTTATCAGATTCAAAATAAAAACACTTATTTAACCCACTGGCGGTTAAGGAAATGGGCAAAATTGGGAGAATGTTTCTCCCCTACACACAGTTCCCCTATCTATTAACATGGGAAAACCGGTTTTGCTATGCAGAGAAGACTGCAGGTTAAAATGCGACTTTTTACGTGCAGAACCATCAGTGGGTTAAAGAAATAACTGTGGAAGTTGTATGTTACTGATTGCATTTTGCCTTCTTATCTACTTAATGTATGGGATGTTTAAGTTTGTTTTTCTATTGAAATTTGCCAATTTGTGCCTCCACTTCAGAAATAGATAAAAGCAAATTTTTTCCATTTGATAACAGATGATTCCTGAATTTAATTGTTAATGCCACCATAGAAAAAAAAGTAAACTTAAGCAATAAGCTGCAAAAGGAAGTAGCTAATATTTTTAAGGCTTCTAGATTAAGGACCTGTGTACAAGTCACTTCTATGTACAAGTCAAAATTTGTCCAAAGCATATTATTTAAATATAATAAAAGATAATCCTTACAATCTTTTCCATTTTTATTTACTATTTTTTTTTCGATACAATTTTGGAAACAGGCTGCAAAATAATCATTTGTTTATTTTTTTCCTTATTAGGGGGTTGCAGAACCATAAAAGTTGAGAAATACTGGTTTAGAGAATGATTAAGACTGGATAGAACTCTGGAGATCTACCACTGGAATCTATATGTCTCTTAAATATTGGAATTCTGCACAAACGATAATTTACAACCTCGGAAATATAATAGTTACCCTTGATAATTAGGTTTGTGAGTGAACTGGTTGTTGCATGTCTCTTGTAGCTCAATGAATTCTGTTTGCTTTGCTGAAAGAGTTTAATTCTTATGCTGAGTTTTATTGCTGGAGATGGCACAAATGTTTTACTAATTTCTGCTTTCGCATAAAAGAATGTACATGCCTACTAATAAATTGTTGTTTGCATGTTTCTCCTGATTCGTTCATGTGTACAATGTCACATGAACTAACACGGCAAGTTTTCTGCTGAGCACTAGCAATGGAACTTAGTTATTATGTCCTCATAGTCATTTAAGTAATAAAGATCTCAGAACTGCACTTTAAAACCTAGCAAAGTTGTTACAATGAATTTTGTATTTTGCATTATTTTAAAGAGGCAAACTGTTCTTAAAGCTTATCATGCTTGATTTTCTCTACAATATCCTTTTTGATTTTAAATAATCAGCAAATTATGACCTGCATAATTCATTGTTGTTTATAAATATTTTTGTGCGAATTTCAGTCTGGTGAAAGTCTTTTATTTATTGCAACTGTTGTTGCTGCTATTTGTGCCTAGTGGAAAACTGGATATTCTAAAAACAACATCTTTTTTTTTTATTTCCTCTTTTTTCTTTTTTTTTTAACAACTTTCAACCTTTTAAAAATTGGACTTGGGACTGGCTTTTTTACTCACCTTTGTTTAAGAAATCTGCTTTTTGTGCAATTAGTATCTGAATATTCTGAATCAATGTGATTACCATCAAAAATTGAATTTTTTGGCAGCATTTTTAAATTGTAGTCTCAAAAATAATAGTGTTTTTTTTTTTTAATTTTGCCTTTTTATTGTTATATATATGTAGCATATCATGAAATATTTCTCTAATTAGGTTCATTTTTTACTTCTGATAACTCTTTTCTATCTTAAATAACTATCATCTTTTTTTCATGAAAAGTTATTGTTTCTAAAATTAAAAGTCAATGTGATCTTAAGTATTTAAAGTTTTAAGTCTTGCTAACTAAAGTCTGTAAAGTCTTACATACTAAAAAATATTATTAAAAGTCAACTTGAAGAATCTTTTTGTACCTTATCTTTTTCTTGGCAAAGAAAAAGTAACCATATCAAAAAGTGGTTTATTAGAAATAAAGTGCTTATACTGCAGTGCTGAAAAGGAAATTTCATTTTTTCCCCATGTCCACTGGCTTTTTAGTTAGTATTATAAATCACAAAACTTACTTAGATTGCTGTAACATTCGATTTAAGTACTATAGATGTTTAGTAGAGTAAAACCTATATAAAGATACTGTTTATAACACTATTTCCTTGAGATCTCTATGAAATTCTTATTTCCTCAATTTATTTTGAACATGCTTGCAACAATAACTACCTCTCAGTTAATCTGCCTATGATGATAGTTTTTCCTCTTTAGAAAGTTGGTGGTGGTTATAACCTGACTTTTCTACCCGTGAAAAATAACTTTCTGTCAAACCTGAATGATGTGAGATAACAAAAAGAAAAAAAATTTTCCCCTCCTAAACATCCAGCATTTTATTAATGAGAAAGAAAATTCTTTTGGGAAAGAGGAATAACATGTGCAATAGCTTTCCTTGTCATTGTGCAGGAGGATCTGTGTTTCTTGTCATTTGGAATGGGGGGGGGATGTTATCCCTGTACCCTGATCTTGATGGGAGGGTCTATTTCATCTGAAAAGCATCAGTCTAGACTTCGAGCTTGTTTGTGGGAGGGTTGTTGTGTGGGTTTTTTCTCATAGTGATCATTTTCAAATCTTCTTATTCATAAGTTATCATTTAAAGAAAAGTTTTAAAATTTCGGAAATTGCTCAAGGATTGGAGCAAATTTATTCTCCCTAAAAAATTTGAGATTTCATAATTAAAGATACTTTTTTTTGAAGAAAAGATATTGAAGATGCTGATGGAGAGAATAAAATTGAGAACAAAAGAAAAAGATTTAAAGATCCTGTGACTGATGAGGCTATCCTGTTTATGTTTTTAATGATACTTTGATAGCTGAATTCACCTGCCATTGACTTTTTTTTCTTTCAAAATAAGTCAGAAAGATGTGCCTTTTGTTTTTAAGAGAGCACAGCAAGAGTGAAAATACATCTTGGCTCAGAGTCCAAAGATAGATGGCAGCACCATTCATATTTGAGGCCACTTCCTCAATTTAGACATAGACCTGAAGGGAAAGAAAATTTTCTCCTAATCCCTGTATCCATGGTACTGCTCAGCAACTTACCACAGGACTTGCAATTCTAAAGATTTTACGAACAAGTATATTCTCAAGTACTCTGTGGTTTCTAGCACAATATAGGATCGATCTCCGTCTGATTATCTAACATTTATGCTACCTCAGTCCTGATGCTGTTCTAATATGATTTAATGAAATGGAGAAACAAAATGTGCCAATTAGTGGTCTGATAATAGCAGACAAAACAAGAACATTGGTATGTTTGCTTCAAAGTCAGCAATGGATGAATTACTTCATTTCGGTTCATTGTAGACCTCGCCCAAAGCTAAGCTGTCAAGATAAGGATAATTGCTTTCAGGTGCGTTAAAAAGCCCCCCTAGAACGGGCTTGGCTTAATACTCTCTGGGCATGATATAGTTTATTTCTTCTGGCGCTTTTCTTATAACAAGGTTACTATTTCTCCTGGTATGAAGAAATGATTTTTCCTGTCCGCAAGTGTGTAATCAAAGTCTTAGTCATGAGAGGGAAAAGTCTTAGCTATCAGAGGGAAAATTTTCTAAGAATGAAAGAAGCTTGACCTTGACTTACCACCATTTCATGAATAGCTTATCTTGTCTAGCGAAGTGAAATAGATTTATGTAGTGTTTCTGCAATTTTAAATAAACTATGAAATTAAATAAAATTTCAATTCAGAACATTTTTTTCTAAGCATTGGAAGTCGTTATTAACAATCGCATTAAAGAAATATTTGAAATCTTTAAGAATTTTTTTAATTGTAGTTCAAATCTAATTTTTCATTGAGTACAATTATTACGTCAATTAAATTTAATGAAATCGACCATAATGTTATTATTATGATTAATAATTTTAAACCATAAATTTTCACACATATAAGAATTTAACATAATATAGTAACTGCACCGTAAAAGCATAATTAGAAATAATAAATTTTTTTCAAGATTTTATGGGATAATGATTGAAATTATTTCTATGTATTGATATTCAAGCCGTGATACAGACTTCCGAACTAAAGAACTAAATTAAATTCATGTTCAGTACAGAACTGAGAAATCATTCAATAGTCTTTAATGGTAGTAACAAAATATTTTCACAACAATTTTATTTATTATTATTAAGCACAACATTGTTAAATGCGGTTTTATAATTCACTCTCTTTTTTTCCCAAACCCAAAGTTTTTTTCTTACTTTTTCAAAAATCTTGATCTTGAAGATTTTCTTTTTAAAACTTAATTGTTCTTTTGCGCAAATAAATTTTTCGACAATTTATTAGCTTTCAGAAAAATCACCTTTTACTAAAATAAATTAAATATAGTTAGTTGGTTTTTGTCATACGAAATGAAGGAATGTAAATCAATTTGATCAATCCAAAAATTTCTTAAAATTGAAATGAAATTATATTTTATACAAAAAGAAAAAAAAATGTACAGAAAACTTTTTTTACACATAGAATATCCCAATAAGCAACGCCTGTGAACTACATTTTTAAAATTATTTTAAAAGTAAAGTTGAACTTTTAGTTTTTATTAGATGTCACAAAATAACATTGAATCATGGAAAAATCTACTAAAAACTGGACCAATAATTTATGAGGTAGGAGACATTGAAAAAAGTTTGAATAGCAGAATTAAAAGAAAGTAGTTTAAATCCAATTAAAATTATTTCTCAAGAAATACTTTAGTAGTGTTTAGGTCATGAAATTTCTCATACTTAAAAAAAATGTTTCAAAGCTTTCAAAGAACATCAATGAATTACAAACGAAAACAAGTATTTTTGAACACCCTATGCCAAAAAATAAAGCAATTAATTTGAATGAAAGATTAAAAAAAGATTGATGATGGATAGATGAAGTAAAAGATTTTGCATTGACTACTTTGGTTGTTGTTTGCAAACCCCTCCATACTTAAAATTTTAATAAAATAGTAATTTTTTTCCTGCATCTTTTTGGACTATAACTCTGTAGATAATCAATGACATTTTCGGAACTATTTTCAATTACTATTGAAATTGCTATTTTAAAGTTTATATAAAAAATTGTTAACAATTTCTCAAGATATGAGCCTTTAAAGCAGTTTCTTCACTCTATGCATGCGCGGAATAATTTTAGAAATGTTTTTAGAAATTTAACATTTTCATCCATTTACAATTTTTATATATTTATTATATATTAAACAGGTGATTAAGAATTTAATGCATTCTTTAAAATGAAAATCACGTCTCCACTCCAAACTAATCATCATGTAGATTAGGGAAAAGAAACCATGTGATTGCTATTTTATCATGGAAGCCAACTCAGAAGACAAGGAAACCCTTAATTTCAGAACTAATTTTTGTGTGAAAGGCCTTTAAGAACTGAGTTTGCGTTACTTGAGTGATAATTTTATTGATATTATACTACTAATTCTATTAATATTATTTTGTTAATTTTTCATGTGTACTATAAGAAAATGTACAATTGTAAAGTTCAATTTTTTTTAAATTTGTCTACCATATTAAATTTAATGACAAATAAGTAAATACCAAGATGGCCCTTGGACGACTAAATTTTTATTGCTAAATTAAACCCTACGAATGACCTAAGTATCTCTAAAGTTATATAATCTTCTTAGTATTTCTTGAGAAATTAATGAAAATGTCAAAATTTTGAAAGTGTCTCGCCCATCATTGTAGGGCAGTATGCAGGGGTGATTGTGAGCCCAAGTTAAAATTTCGGAAAATTTCTTGAGTTAAAAAAAAAAGTTTAAATTGAAAAGTTAGAAAAAAATTTAAACAAGGTTTTTTTTCCTTTTTCTCAATATTTCTTAGTTTACTTAAACTATATTTAAAATTTTACACATACCTATACCATTTTAACATACCTAGGATGACCTGGGGAAGTAATTAAAATTTACAAATATTTCTTTCTTTCTTCAGTTTATGATTATAACAACTATTTACTGATAAAAAATTAATATTAATCATGAATATAAGTTTTAAAGTATCTCTCT